GTCCCATAAGGTCCTTAAGGTCAGGATTTGACCTCAGGCTTAGTTCACTACAGTCCCCCCTTTGGAAATCATCGCCTGTCCATGGGGATGAATTCCAACATGAACTTACGCCTTCGAATGTCCCTGGTCTTGATGTAATCCAGCAAGGAAAACAAAAGTCAAAAGTAATCCAGCAAGGAAAACAACAGTCAAAGGATGTAATCCACAATGTTTTTGGTAATTCCATTGTGTTGATGGTAATTCCATAATGTTGTTGGTAATTCCATTGAAGCAATGCTTTAACCCCTTGGAAACAGAGTCTGTAATCCATTGAAAAAGTCATATAATCCACAACGATTAATCCACAACGATTGGAAGTGTTGATTGATCAGCATACAGAGGGGTTCCCTTGGATTGAACTGAAGATGCGGCCACTGGATGAAGAGTGGAGACCAACGTCAGGATTGCAGGTCTCCTCCAGCGAAGGTCGTCGCTGGGTGGATGTCCAGTCGATGCCGTTCTGGTTCAATGTGACATGCAATTATGTGGTTTAAGGTGGGCTTATGAAGGGGATTTTACATAAGGCCTTAAACTATATGCACCTGGTGTGTAAGCTATTATGATTGGGAACAGCTACAACTACCAGTTAAGGGATGGAACATGCTGAAAAGGGTAACTATAGGGGTTTATACCTATAGAAAAGGGTTCCAAACTATTTTTCCATTTCTAACTTGGTTTAAGTTAGCTTTACATGGCAAAATATAGTTCGGTTCAATTGTCGGTTATCTTTTAGACAAACGACTTGAGATTGGGTGTTTGGTTTCCCCATAAATGTTTTTGGAAGTCTATGGCGAGACTCATCAAAAAGAATTAGCTATCCCCCCGAATAGAATTGTTCGAGTAGGTTCGGCTTAAGCGTTGTGAGACCAATGTAGATTATGGTACTTAAGGTAGCAATAATATACATCGACTCCGCAAAGATTGCAATTTAACAAATGAACTGCATGTTGGCATAGTTAAAACCCTTTACAGTCTCCAACTAAAACTTACACACAAAATTCATTCTTACCTCAGAAACAACCAAAACCAAATAAAAAACGTTTCAACATCGACAAGAGTAGTGACTAAGCAACTAGAAACATCGTTTCACTGCTTCACCTCACCCTGGTTGTCAGATTCAGTCACGCTGTCCCGTGTGAGTGGCTTCTTTGCAGACCCGCATACGCGAGACATAATCATATCGAGGTGCGCTGCATGGCGATCCAGGTCGACTCGGAGTGACGTGTGGCCCCGGAACAGGGATGTGAGTATCCCACACAATACGAGGATTATCGTCATTAGCAGGGCTATGATTAACGTGTCCGCGCTTGACCACGCATAGGTAATTGGTTGGATCGGGTTCTTAATTGTGGACCTAAGGGACTTGAGAACTCGGTTTATTGGTTCCATGTCGACGACTTTGGTGCCTTCAAAGCGGATCTTCCCCAGAGTTTCTGGACCTATGTCTATAGACATGTTCACCAGGTACTCTGAGTCATCCAGAGTCGCGTCCCATTGTTCCGGATCGAGGTGATAGAGCGTCAAATCACCAATGTGTATGGTTGTCCCCTGGGGAACACTGATCCACATTGTTTTGTCCGGTAACGTCAAAGGTCTATTTGCCCCAGGTTGATCGTAGGCTATGATTGCCTTTCTTTGAGGAGCGTTCACTAGCCAACGTGAGCCAACAATTTCCGCCTTTGCGGCTTTAGCCAGGTGTCGAGGCGTTATGGTCGTTGAACACCTAGAATTTTTCGGAATAGGTGTCAACCCGCATAAGCCCACGGTTTGATTCCAAACAAACGGCTTACTCGCACACAGATAATGTATCTCCCGAGTGAGAACACACATCTGAAGGTTTGGAGCTAGATAAACTGAGGGGTTATCGTCGTGGTACGCAACCATCCTTGGTGTGTCAATTTGAACATGGTTTTCACCGTGCCAATTGCCAACATTAACAACGTCCCTGAGTCTGTATATGCCATTTGAGGGAATTATCGGTAGGTTGATAATGAACGCCATTTCAAACGTCTTGTGATTGACGTAGATTGGGATTGCGCTACCGAGAGTGTAAGCCAG